AAAAAAGGACAAATGCTTGGATTCACCAGGTCTTGAGTGCAGTCTCAGAATAGATTGGTTTAAGAAAGTTTCTTCCATGCAACCAGGTTTATAAGCCATGGAACCACAGAAGCTAAAAGCTGAGTTGAGGTGAGATGGGGAGATGTGGAGAGGGAGAGAGGGAATGGGATGGGGAAAACTATACTTTGGGGATGAATGGTTGGAACACCCACAGCTTGATATAGGCACAGTCTAACAGCCAGCAAGCAACTGCAGTCTTATTCAACTTTGAGCCCACTGCCCTTCACAGGGACAAAGCATGTTATAGTTTATAATACTTTCTTCTTCATGGACTCCTCATGACAAGCAAGGTTTATTTAATGAGTGAAGAAACTGAGGAACAAAGAGCTGAGGCAATGAGCTCACCACTGCTCAGCTTTAAGCAAGAGCGCCACTAACAACAAACAGCCTCTGCTTGGGCCTGAGCCCAGTGCTATTGTTGGAAGAGGCTAGGCTTTGTATCTATAGAAAATCAGGCTCATCTAGCACTTAGAAGTTTGTTATCCAGAGCCAAGACATCCCTTGTCTCCCACTTGTTCTGTCTTGAGAACTTGAAGGGGCTGCTATTCCAGCCATCTCAGCCCATCTATCTATCAGTCCATCCATTCCTCCCTTCCTCCCTCCATCCATCCATCATTTCATCTGTTCACCCACTCATTATATCATCCATTCATCCTCCCCTCCCTTAATCACTCACCCACTTATCTATCCAGCTACTTTTTCATTCATTTATCACATGCATCCACATCTCTATGTCCATCCCATCCTTCTTCTTACACATCCATCCACCATCCTCAATATCCACCCATCCACTTATCTATTCATCAATCCATCTACCCATCAATCTGCCCATTCATCTTCCAAATTATTTATTCACCTATTTGTTCTATCCACCCATCTATCTCTTCACTCATCACATCCATTCATCAATCCATCTACATACTCATTACCTAGACATCTATTCATCCATCTATCTTCCCATTCATTCATCCATTCAATTACTCTCCATCAAAAACTACATGAAACCAGGTCCTATAGGAGCCTGTATAACAAAAAGAATCAGACAAATACAGCCTTGCCCTCAAGGAAGTTTGAGTGCTTACAGAAATTACGGACTACCAAAGGGATGAAATCAAAACCACGGAAACAAGGGCAGGAAAAGGATAAAGCCAGGAGTCAAGTTAGCACACCATATGTAGACCAAGACATCCCCACAGTGCTCAGGATAGCCCCAAACTTGGCTCTTAGCTAGCTCCTGGCACCCAGTGCAAATTCTATAACACATGAGTCATAGCAACTCAACATGGCATACACTGCCCAGCAGCTACTCCTGTCCCATGGAGCACACTGGTGTCATAGGTGTCCTGGAGGACATTTGGCTAGTGGAGACATTTTCAGTCAGCACAACTGATGGGGATCCAGGGAGTAGAGTGGAGGTCAGGTATGATATTGCACATCCTCAATGTGCAGGACAGCCCTCCACAGCAAACATTAGCCAGCCAAGATGCCAATGGCTCTGAGGTCCAGAAACCCGCTAGAGGAGTGGAGTGCCAGACCCCAAGGGAGGAGCATCACTGGGCTAAGCAAACCCTGGCTTTCGCATTTCTTTCTATCAGATCCTTGATTTCCAACTTTCCTTAATCTAGGGAAGTCTGCTGCCAGGAGGTTTCTGGAGAACTTTTGTGTTTATGACTTAAAAAAAAGTGCACTGAAGAAAACTCCTCCTCCTCCCTCCAGTTCCAGACGCCTAAGTGTCAACATGATGCATGACCCTGAGACAGCCACCGTGGGTCTAAAATGGAACAATTAGAGGACCCAAAAGTCAGTGCAGTGACAATGGCTGAGAGGAAAGGAAGAGCCTGGGACCTGACCAACACTGAGCGGCATTATTGCAGGACTGTTTACTAAACCATCCCAGATTGATTCATCCAACAAACACTCAGTGAGCATTTCTTCTGGGCCAGTTACTGAGTGAGACTTACTAAGACAAATAACACCAATTACACCACCAGTGTCCCTGACCTCATGGAGTTTATGGGCTGGTGGTGGGAACAGATACCACGATTCACATCAACTATCTGTTCAGAGCAACAGTGAGAACTACAGAGCAGAATTAAGTATGCTATGGGGACACGGGCAGTCCAAGTCCACCCAGATCACCACACCAAAGATCGGGACCAAAACCAGAACAAAACAGCTCGGACTTATTGAGGACGTCTTTCTGTCCAGCACTATTGTAAGCACACATCCTCACAACCCCCGTGCCCCCTGTCACCGAGGCTCTGCCTTGTACTGCGCGCCTTGCTTAACAACTCACCTCTGCTTGAGTAATCCCAGCTGACAGCTGCTCTTATCCTCAGGAGCAGGTTTTGCTTTTCCTCAAAGCATCCGTTTTGCTTATCAGAGAAAAAATTTCTTCAGAGCTTCTCAGCACACTCCCCTAGTTCATTTTACAGATGAACCACCTAAGACTCAGAGAAGGGTAGTGACTTAAGAAGCCACACAGCTTTAAAAAGGAAGGCAAGGCAGACCCAGGATGCTAACCCAGGTTTTTCTTTTTTTATCAGAAAAGCAGGGTCATCCATATACACACATGCACACACACCATGCTACAGCAAACGCTCCAGTGTCCTGGGTCTAAGGTTCTCTTTTTCGTAAATGTGTGCTATGAATTCGGTCACTGAACTCCTCCTTTCTCTGCCTAGCCATATCTGTGGACTGGCTAAAGAGGGTCAACAACAGCTGGCTGTGTCAGATCTCAAGTCATGTGATTTAAAAAAAATCCTGAGACTTAGTCTTCTTTTTGGTTTTTGGAGATAATAATATTTATTTCAGAAAGCTATTGTGAGAATTAAATGAGATAATAGGTACAGAACATCAATCCATTTATCCACCCAACCATTCATCCACACAACCATTCATCTATCCAGTCATCCATCCTACCATCTACCCAACCATCCATCTATCCATCCATCCATCCATCCATCTATCCATCCACCCAACCATCCATCCATTTAATCATCCATCCATCCACTCATCCACCTATTCATATATCCATCTATCCATCCATCCATCCATCTATCCATCCATCCATTCATTCATCCTGCCATGCAGCTATTCATCCATCAAACCATTCCAGCAACTATCTGTTGGATACTGACTGTGGTGAGCACTGCACAGGGGCTTAGATGAGGGGACATGTAGACACCCTCCAAAGTGGATGGGCCTGGGAGACAGAAAGAGGTTGAAAGGTTAAATTATCTCTACATTATACTTTGGGAGGAGCTCTGTGAGACCTTCTGCTCATCCTACCCTGGATTGTCCTTCCCAGAAGTTGAGGGTTGGATCCTAATGAATCCTCCTCAGGCCATGAGTTCAATTTACAACTTACAACTTATACAATTGTGGATTAAGGTACTCCTAGTCCTTTAACTATATGATCTCTAGTCCCCTCCTCCCTGTGAAATTAGCTCCATTTTGCAAATGAAGAAATAGGTTCAGAGAGGGGAAATGACTTGCCTAAGGTCACACAGCTGTATGTGGGATGGGTCCCCAGGCCATTTGATTCTTCAGCCTTTGCTATGTCCACTGCATCATATCACCTGGTTGGTGATGAGTAAAAGCAAAGAACATCCCCAGACTGATCAGAAGAATTGTCCCTGACTCTGCCCATCACTGGCCATCTATCCTCAGCTATGGATGACAGTAATAGGTACTGAGTCCTCACAATGTGGGTGGTGTCAAGGGCTTCCACCCTGGCACCATGATGACCGTAAGAGTCCAGGACTTCAATTTCATCTCCACTTCAGAGAAAGCAACTGAGGCAGAAATCTTAAGTGATTTGACGATGTCACATGTGTAGAACCAAGATCTACTACATTCCAGAGCCCAACCTTTCTTCTTTCTTTCTTTTCTTTCTTTCTTTCTTTTTTCTTTCTCTCTCTCTCTCCCCTCTCTGTGTGATTTAATAGGTTTATAAAATGTATCTAGCTTTTAAAAAAATCTAAAATGTGGCCCCAAAAGAAAAAAACAAACATTCTCTTAAATCTCCCTCCTCAGAAACAAAACCGTCACCAGTTTTCATGTGTCCTTCCACGGAATTTTCTATGCAAATACAAACCTGTGTGTACATATATACATCTATATCCGTTTTGTTATCAGAAACCACACAAGTCTTCAGCTTGCTGCCTTCACTTACTGAAACTTGGAGTTTCCTCCCCATCCGCACACGGATCTGCATTTTCCCTTGAACAGTGGGATAGCATTCCATCTTAAATTTACCTGTCCCCCTAGATTGAAAGACATTTGGGCTATTTTTATTGGGGGTCACCCCAAGTGGTAGAACCTGAGCCCTAGAGGTTAATAGGAAGCACACTACCTTAGCCTCACACCTGAGCTTCATACACCTGAATAAGATCCCTGTCTCAGTTTCCAACACCCACTTGGGGCTGTACCTCACACCTCGTCCCTTTGGTGGACTCTCCAGAGCTCAGGGAAGTGTGGAGGAACAAATCCACAGTTTCCTGGGGTTCATCTGTTCAGGTTCCCAACCCAGCTGGGCCATACCTTGACTACATGACCCAGACCCAGCATAGCTGCCTGTGGACCTCAGTTTACCTGCAGCAAAGTGGGATGATACACCAACGCCCACCTTCTGAGGTTTTATGGAGAGCCTCCCTGCGTGCATTCCCAGAAAAGCCATTGGCAGAGAGAATGAACCAAGCCCTTGCCACAGGCTCCTGCAGCCCCTCCCAGCGCTTCCCACACCACACAGGCCATGCCCTTGTTCTTAGGGAAAGGAGACACATGCATTCCCCGGGCTTCCAGTCATTCTAGAGAGCCCTTGTGGGAGTCTTTGAGCCCATTAGAAACACATAGGGGGTGTCCTATGGCCTCCAAAGTCTGATCATGTTCTCACCCCATCCAGTCCTCCCCTGGCCCCAGCAACTGGCCCCACTCACCATAAGGACACTCCACAGGAGCCCCAAGGGGTGCGTTCACACTGACCATGGCCAAGTGCACCCAGCTGGACACTGGAGAGCATGGAGGAGCCGGGGCCCACACACAGCAGCAGTAGGGCCACCAGGAGCCAGTCCACCAGGAAGGCAGTGAGCACAGCCAGCTGCCACTGCCTGGTTATCTTATTGATTCTTCTAATCACCCAAGGTGGGTGGATACGTTAAAGAATAACCAGTCACTTAGGGAACCTGTGGCTGGGGACTGTGGCTATTGCCATGGCAACGGCGACCTGGCCATACCCGAGGTCCTCTCAGGCCCCAGTCCTGCACTCTGGGGTTAGGAGCACTTGGAGCCAGATGTAAAGGATGTCAGACCCCCAACTTGAGGGAAGGAACTGAGGAAGAGGGGCTGCGGAGGTGAGAGTCCAAGTTGGGTGGGGTTTTATGGCTTTACATTATGGGCGTGGGGAAGTCGAGGGAGGGGTAGAGGAGAAAAGGAAGGTGGAGAACTGAGTTTACTGAGTGCTGACTGGATGCTGGGAGCCATGTTTAAATTAAACTTTGAGATGAGAAAACTGAGGCACAAGAGAAGTTGCTTATCTGGAGGCTCACGGCAGATACAGAGAGGATTTAAACTAGTCTTCCATCATCGTAGGTTTCTTGAGCACCTACGGCATGCCAGGCCCTGGTCCAGCTTCCACTGACATAGGAATGAGCAAAGGAGACTTCATCCTGACATCCATGGAACTTGTGGACCGCTGAGGGGGATGGGCCTTAATCAGATCATCAGTCAAAGATGTTATTCCAAGCTAGTTGGTGGGCAGAATAACCCAGGATTGGTTAGGACCCATGGGTGGATGCCTGCCCTTCCCCACCCGCTCTGGTCTTCTCCCCCAGTGTATATGGAATTTGCTGAAGAGGACACCATGTTAAATGAAGTGAGCCAGGCTCAGAAACACAAAGGCTGCATGTTTTTTCTCATACGTGGTAGATCCAAAGATAAACATACACACACAATACAAGCATGGTGATATACAAACTCAGACGGGAACATGTCCGTAACAGTGGAGCTACGCTATGGAGCTGGGGAAGGAGGGGAAGAAAAAGAGAATGATAGAGTGTCAAAAGTATCATAAAACATGACATCTTGTGAAGGTAGAGGATACAAGGATGTGTACTGAAAGCTGTTGAAAAATGGGGGCGGGGTGGGTAAAGGGGTGGGGGAGAATTATGGAAGGGATTGAACAGACCAAAGTAAAGCACACCCACAGTGGGCATACATTGAGACACCCCTTTGAACATCAAGTTAAATATTAATAATGAAAACCAGGACTGTAAAACAGGTACAGTGCATGTGTGGAGGGGGTACTAGTGGGAGGGTGATGGAAGGAGACTAAGGTGATGGTATATGAAACAACTACATGAAACAACTAGAAAACTTCTTGCAATTGCTTTAAGAGGGGTGGGGAGGGGGCTGAGAGGGAGAGACGATGAGGCAATGTAAATAATGTACAATCTAAATCTAATCAGAACTGCGACTATGAGCCCCCCCGTATAATGAATATATTCTAATAAAAAACCAAATAAACCTGCTGAAGCCTGTGCCCTGGTCTCGGAGGCCTCCAGTGCCTTCGCTCTCTTGCATTTACACACCTACTACCTGGCTTTTTTGGTGACAGCCCTGTTTCCTTTGTCCCAGTGCTGGATCTCCTTGCCTGTTTTGGGATTCTGAAATCAAAATCTTCATCATGTTACATTGAGCTCAAATGAGATGTACTAAAACCCACTCAATTCAAAGGAATCAGGAAACCACAACTCTGCCATTTCCTCGGTGTTCCTTTGGTAAATGATGTCACTTTCTTATACAGTAATAGTCCCATCAGCAAGCTGCTATCTTCCTCTCTGCTCACCGTCTCTTTCTCCAGGCACTTTCTCAGCCACCCCCAGGAGATCCCTGGCCCCAACAGCTCAGGCTGTTTCCAGTTCTTGGCTCTAAGTTCTCCCTGCCTGTTGACCTCTTCTTGCCTGCTTTTCCTTTCCGTCCCGTTTAAAGTTGACAGTCTGTTGTTTTTGTGCCTCTCTTGATTCTCTCTCAGTTTCTTTCCTGACAAACTTCCAAGCTGGGATGGTATTTTGCTTTCTTCGTGCCTACATTAGGCAACCACTTACCTCTGGAATGAAAAGTCACTGAGAGGTACAGATGGGGCCCGTAGCAATCACCAGCTTTGATGGGTCCTTCCACACTGCCCAGCACTCCTACCCTGGGCTCTCCATTCCTGCACAACTGTTCTCCACCTCCAGTTCAGATTTTCTTCTCCTTGAACCTCCTCAGCAGCATGAGACTTTGCCGTCCTCACAGAGAGAGCAGAAGCCTACATCAGCTCTCCCTGAGCCCCACTAGCACCCATTCGCCTGCGTCTGCAGCTTTCTTACTCCTTCCATCCAGAGGCACCTCTGTCTGCAACCTTCCGATCCCAGCTCTTCAACAGCTCAGAAGTTTGTCCACTTCTGCTTCCAGTACCACCATCTTGGTTCAAGCCATCCTTGTCTCTTACCTGGGTTACTGAAACAGCTTTTTGCCTGCTCCCAGCATCAACTCTGGCCCTCGCTAAATCTCTTCCTTAGTATGGTCAGAAGTACCCTAAGAAAATCTGATTGTAGCTTGGCACCGGGGACTCACGCGCTACTAAGGAGGCAGAGATCAGGAGGATCATGGTTTGAAGCCAGCCTGGGCAAATAGTTCGAGAAACCCTATCTCGAAAAAACCCTTCACAAAAATAGGGCTGGCAGAATGGCTCAATTGAGGTGAAAGCCCTGAGTTCAAGCCCAGTACCACAAAAAAAAAGAAAGAAAAAGAAAACCTGACTGTGTCATTCCAGTGCTGGAATCTCCCAGTGCCCTGCAATGAAGCTGCAAATCTGGTCATGGTTTGACCCCTGCCTCCTTCCCCAGTGTGGGTCATCACCCACCCATCCCCCATCCCCAGGAGGTCTTGTAGTCCCTGGCATTGCCGTGTACCCTCCCCACATGCTCTCCAGTCACAGGGCCATCACACCAATTTCTCCATAATAGGTGGTTTCAAGGGGTATATAGAAAATCTCTGTACTCTCCACTCAATTTTTCTGTGGCCCTAAAACTGCTTGCTCTAAAATACGATCTGTTTAAAAAGAAATCCCCATGCGGGAAATCCCTCAGACCAAGCATTTGAGTTGACTGTGTTCTTCTAACTCCCTGTTCTCCCAGGTCGCCCTCACCTCAGTTCTAATAAGGTATTTGTGCTCATCCTCATTGCCTGACAGCTGCACCAGAATGATAAGCTCCAGGAATACAGGAACATTCTAGATCTCAGGGGTCAACAAACTTTTTCTGTAAGAAGCCAGATAGTAAATATCCAAGGCAACCATGGACAATGCACGAATGAGTGAGCATGGAACAGAAAAAGCCTAAGAATAATAGAGGAGGCAAATGTGACCAAAGTACTTGCATGCACGTGTGGAAATGTCACCTGCTCTATGTACAACCTAATTAACACCAGTGAAAAACTAAAAGCAGGCAGTGGGCCACAGTTTGCCCACCCCTAGTGTACGTTAATGACCACCATGCGCAAAGTTGACAATTTTACAGCTGTGCACTGTTTGAGGTGCTTCCTGTGCATTCATTCGTGTGGTATTTTGAGTGAAGTCAGGCGGCAGAAGCTATGAGTGTCCTTCAGTCAAGGATAAGGCGCTGAGAGCTACAGTAATTCACCCAACACGCACGGCCACTAAGTTAAATTTGTGACCAAGCAATTTGGCTCCAGAGATAGGGCTGTTGAGTGAATGAGTGATCAAATGATACTGGGTGTGAAAGTCTACAAAAACTACAACACTTTACAGAGGATAAATGTTATTGTTACTGTTTTTTGTTTTGTTTTGGGATTTTTTGGTGGTTCTGGTGAACTCATAGCCTCAAACATGGTAGGCAAGTATTCTACCATTGAGCTACATCTCTGTTGACAGAGAAAGAAACAGATTTCTTGCAGCAAAAATTCCTCTTCCTCTGGACAGCACTGTAACATTGCAGGACACCGAGTACAATCCCCTCACCCCCCCCTCCAGATCTGCTGTGTCTGGGCATAGCCAGCTGGAAAGAGTCCATCTTGCTTATGTTTTTAGCATGGCCTCTTCTTGAAGGCTGAAGGCCGTATCAGAAATGGTGAACCCGGGAGATCACATGAAATTCCCACCCTACAGTAGCATTGTCTGCTGAGTGGCTCTACCTTTGTGTACTAAATGAATGTCTCTCTCCTTATCGGGGAAATGGGAGAGCGAGGTGTTAGGAAATTGAGTGTCTACTCAGATAGTGCAGATTCAAATGCAGCTGCTTGAGCCTTAGTTTTTACACCTGCAAAATGGGGATGAGAACGTAGCCGTCACATACCGTAGCCATGATCTTTCAACTAGATTAAGAGCACAGGTGACTCCCATACCAAGTGTTGATAAATGCCAGTGGTTGCCATTTCCATTCTCCAGGACCTCAGGACACAGAAGACAATGTGGAGCAGTTGAAATAGAACAGACTATTGGGCAGATGAAGCAGAATTCAAATCCCACCTCTGCGCCTTACTAGTTATGTAATTTCACGATGCCCTGAATCCAAGGGTCAAGTACCCTCACATTTTGGGACACTTGTGTAGAGCTGACAAGCTTTTTTACCCCAATGTAGAGACATTAATAATTTTCTTTTTAAAACTCTAACATTTACTATCGTCATTGTTTTACAGAAGAACTTTTTTTTTTTTTTTTGCAGTAGTGGGGTTTGAACTCAAGCCTATACCTTGAGCCACTCCACCAGCTTTTTTTTTTTGTGATGGGTTTTTTTGAGATAGGCTTGTGTGAGCTGTTTGCCAGGGCTGGCCTCGAACTGCGATCCTCCTAATCTCTGCCTCCTGAGTAGCTAGGATTGCAGATGTGAGCCACCTTCGTCCTGCAAGAAAAGACATTTTAATACACCTCTCCCAAAGGAGCAAGAATATTATCTGTGAGTAACAAACTCTGAACAGCACCCTTGCTGCTCTTATTTCAGTCATTCCCAGCACAGAGGATACTCTGAGGGGGCTGACAATACATGTGGACCACCCAGATATGGAGCTAGCCTTTTAGTAGTAAACGCGTTTACTCCCCTTCTCCGGTCTTCCAATTAAGCTGGTATCCCTTTGACTTTTCTCCCCCACCTAATTTTCTTCTCTTGTCTTTTGACCCTCCTGGGAGCCGAGGGACCAGATAAGCACCCCTGCATGAAATTTCAAAGAACTTTATTGAGGCACAGGTAGAGGCCTACGTGGGAACAGTCAAGAGGAAAGGGAACTCACTCTGTCCAGGACAACCTAGGGACTAGACAAGGGGCCTGTTTTCTGTACCTTCCTGTCCCAGGTGTTTGAATGCAGCCAGAGGCAGGGAGGGGGCCCAGCTGCAGGGCAAGGTCTGAGGGAGGAGATTTTACTATCTCTGGAGACAAAAGGACTTTTGTGTGTTATGCTCTCTGGGTGGGATGAGTGGGGGGGGAGGGGAAATGGTTTATTGGAATGAGAATGAGATTATATGGGAGAAAAGGGAGGGAGAATGAGATGCAGAAACTGAGATTGAAAAATACAGGAACAGAGCAGCAAACACGCACAAAAAAAAAAAAAAAAAAACGAAAGAAAGAAAAGAAAAGAGAGAGAGAGACCGAAGAAGGAAAAAAAAGGACAAACAGAAAACAGAGTTTGCCCTCAGGCTGACTTTGGTCTCTGCTTCTTCTGCTGCAAGCTTAGGGAGGTGTCAGGAAGCCTGGAGGAGATGTGAGTTTGAGCTCCAGCCTTGGTGCCACCACGGTGAGCTGGGCAGCTCTGAGTCGCACCCTTCCCTGAGGTGGGCTGAGCCTTTGTGGTTGTTTCCATGATAAGCAGTGCGATTTAGGGGGAGATGTCCACAAGCGAATTTCAGCATTTTTTTCCAAGTTTGGACCTGAAATGTGCCCAACTCTGGAGGGAACCACCAGTCTTCATTGGCTGCCCAGGTTGGTCGTATTGGATGGATAAGGTGGATTTCATAAAAGCTTTTCATTGGATGGACAGTCTTGGATTTGGAGCCTAAGGGTCACAAAAGCAAGCTGCTGGTAGTGTCCCTGCAGGCCTGGATCTCTGAGAATGGAGCAAATTAAAGATACAGGTCTCCCCAGAGGCCAGAGAAAAGAAAGAGGTCACTAAAGGAAAGAAGAAAGACAAAGAGGTCTCTTTCTCCTGGCACATGTTGGACATTTAGGAAAGAAATCTAGAAGTGAAATCTTGATCTGTGGAATGAGCCCAATTCCTGTCCTTAGGGGGGAAAAATTATTTATGCATCCTGGTTTTGGGGAGGGATCCTTCTGGGGTCAGGCCCAGCTGAAGATGCCCCAGAGCGCTGGGAGAGTTCAGATCCACAGCAGCCGGTTGGATTTGAGCCCCAAGAAGCACATGTTGCTGTTGCAGTTGCCTTGGTAACTTGGGGGGCAGGAGGAGCAAGGCTTCCCCATCTTGTAAGGTGCCTGGCCGATCCAGTTGCCCCTGGAAGAGAAAAGGCATCCAGGGAAACAAGGTTAGGGAACAAAAGAGCATTAGGGGAGCAAGCTAACCCAAATTCCAGGTCTCAGCACTCTGGTTCACTGTGACCTTAGGCAAGTCACCCCTGCAAGCCTTGCTTTCCTCATCTGCAACATCTCCCTACACACGGAGATGCTTCGAAGATCAAACGGAGCCCTGTGCGCATGTGCCCAGCATCCTGTCTGGCTTAGCAGTGACCTCCTACAAGGACTGGTTTTTTATTCCTCTGTTCCCCTGGAGGAGCTAGATCTGAGCTCTTGTCCCAGGTTCTGGTCCTGAGTTCTGATCCGGTGACAGGCTGAGCCACCTTATTTCTCAAAATTTATCCCAAATCCATGCCCCCTGTTCCAGGATTAATCCTCTCAGGAGACCACCACCTTTTGGGGAATGGAGGATGGGGAATTACTGCTTAATGGTTAGAGTTGCTCTTTGGACGGATGAAAAAGCTTTGAAAATAAATGGTGATGGCTGCAAACATCGTGATTGTAAGTAACCACTGAGTTGTACACTTCAAATAACTAAATGGCATATTTTATGTTATTTATATTTTACCACCATTTTTCAAATTTAATAATGCAATATACCAAATCCACTGCTTTGAGTGGCATATGAATTATATTTTTTAAAAATAAAAAGATTGCTACTTTCCCACTCTAAAACTTTTAAAGACTTCCCTTTGTCTCTGCAGGAGCTGCATGCTTGTTATGTAAAGGGTCAGACAGTCCCTGTGATGCAAAAGCAACTGGAGAGAAAGTGCAAAGAAGTGGTGTGGCTGTGTTTCATTAAAACTTTATTTACAAAAACAGGCAGCAGATCGAATTTGGCCACAGGCAGTAGTTTGAGAATTCCTGGCTTATTGAACCCCATCAACAGCTGTCAATCCAGTATTCTAGAGTGGACCCACCTTCCACACTTCTTCCCACACTCTCCTCCATCCCGGCCCGTGAATGTCTCTGTTCCTGCTCAAAGGCTATAGTCATCCCCAGCTCCTGCTCAGGGCCGCCTCATTATCTCACCACTAGCCTGTCATATTCGTCATCTTTACACGTCCCAAGGCTTATTTCTCACACCTTAAGTGAACTCTCTTCATGGCCAGAAATGGAATCTCTTTTTTCCCCTCCAAAAGTGATTGCTGAATGACCATCAGCAAAGTCATTCAAAGTACTCAGAAAAGTATGCACTTGGGCTTCCTAACAGGATTCTTTCACTCATTCATTCACCGTTCATTCAATCATTCGGATACGGATAGCTATACAGAGAGATTCCTAGCATTGCTTCCATGCACAGGTGTTGTATTGGGTATTTTTGAGGCAGGGTCACTCCAGCTATTTGCCCTGGCTGGCTTCAAACCTCGATCCTCCTGATCTCTGCCTCCTGAGTAGCTAGGATTACAGGCATGAGCCACTGGCACCTGGTTCACATTTGATTCTTAAATCCTGTGAGCTGGTGATATTAACTCTGAGAGAGGAGGTTGAGACCCGAAGAGAAATGACTTCTTGCCCTAGCATGCACTTGGTAGAGCTGGACTCAAGCCTAGATCTGGTAATAACAAGAACCAACAAGTAGTCCCCACTCGTTCTGAGCCCAGGGGGTCACTTGGTTAGCTCACTTCATTCTCTCAGCAATTCTGTTTCACTTCTGTTTTGTAGATGAAAAAAACAAGCATGGAGAGGTTCAAACTCTGGCAGTCTAAAAACCTTAACAAATTATTGTTGTTTGTTGACATATCAACAAACACATTGGAACAGGCCCTTAAACTATTTGTAATGGGATTTGGTTTCTTATAGTTCTCTGTCAGATAAAGCTGGGACAATATGACACTTTGTCAACAGATGTCACCTTCTAACAAATAACACATATCTTAGAATTAGAGTTTATATTCTGACTACCAGTGACTTCAGGAACCCCAGGATATTATAACAGAAAGGACAAATACTTGGGTTACAAACAGCTCTGCTGCTTATTGCTTTGAGACTTTTGGTACATTCCTTAAACTCCCTGAGCCTCAATTTCCATCCCTCCCTCCCTTCCCCCCTTCTTCCATCCCTTCCTCCCTCCAGATTCCCTTCCTCCCTCCCCTCCTTCCTTTTATGAGGCAGGTTCTGGCTATGTAATCCAGGATGGCCTCAAACTCAAAATCCTCCTTCTGAGTGCTCGGATAACAGGTATGTGCCATCATACCTTGCTTCTCAGTTCCTTAACCTATAAAACGGACAATATTTCTGACAGTCCTTCAATTTTCCTTTCCTTCTTTCTTTCTTTTATTTATTTTGTAGTGCTGGAGATTAAAGCCAGTGCCTCACACATGCCAGGCCAGCTGTTCTACCACTGAGCCACGCTTCCACCCCCTTTTTTCTCTTAAATGAGAAATACTTATAAAGTGGGAGTATTTTGTGAATGATCAAGGGCTGAGAATCAAATGTGAATATTAAGGTGTAATTTTAAAATTCTAAATTTCATGTTGACTGAGGATTCGTTCTTGTTTTTTATGGGACTCTGTATGCTATATGAGAACTTTGGTTCCCCTAGCCCTATTCCTCCAAGCTGACTGGCGAGTGTGGATGGAGCTGAGCAGGCTGCTGTCTCCCTGCTGCCTTTCCTCTGGCATTTGCCTGCCTGTGGGATCCTGGGATTAGTTGGCCGGGCTGGCACGGCCCTTGCCCTTGTGAGAAGAGGCTGTGTGCATCCAGTGTTGCCTGGCACCGGTGCAGAGGTCTAATTTATAGTGAAATATTAGCAAGCCCAGTGATGGGCAGGTGGCTGTCTAGGCCACATTCCCCACTGTCATCAGTGACACTGACTTCACCTGGGTCCATCCTGACACTGTGGTAGAGAGTGGATTACTTACTGACTGACTGTGCGCACTGGTGCGATACAGAGGGAACATAAATGAAGGAAGGACACCTCATGGGTCTCTCTGTCCTTGAGTTCTTGGGACCCAGCCTCCCTCCCCAGGGCCCCGTGCCTGGTGTGCACTTACTTGATAGCGTAGTTGCAGACCAGGTACACTGCCCGGTGCCAGGTGCTGCCCCCCACGTCGATGCTGCTGCAGGTGTGCAGGGCACAGCCCAGCCGACTGGAGGATGCCCACACCATCTGAGGAAGCATAGAGACAGTGGGCTGAGGACTCAGGCGGCCAGGGTCCTCAGGTCACATGGTCCCTGGGCTTGCTTCCAGGTGAGTGCATTCGGTGAGGTCTTCCTGGAGAAGGCGGTCTGCCTGTCCCAAGGGCGGGGGGCGGGGGTACGACACTACAGGCATTTATGCTGTACTAGAATGTTTTCCAAGTTTTAAAAATTAAAAAAACCCTACAGTCAACAGTAAGTAATAGATTTCATACTGTGACTCAGTACACACACAATTGGAATTAAAGTTTTATGAACTGGAGCTGGGATGTCACTCAGTGGTAGAGTGTGTTCTTAGCATGAGCCCAGAACCATGCACAAAATTGTTCTGTGAACCAGTAGTTACCTGGATCATGTGGGATATAAGCATTCTATTTGTTTTTAGTTCTCATAGTGATCAACCTTTGAAAATCATCGTGTTGGATGTGAAACACAGACACTGGAGTCAAACCCGCTTGAATCCGCATCTGAGTATCACCTGCTGTGTGACTTTGGCTAAATCTCACCCTCTTTGTGCCTCAGTTCTTCATTAGTAATATGGAGACAATGTATCTCCTGGGAAGCTAGAAAGCTCATTTGGTTTAGGCGTTACATTTTGTAAAGGACCTCAAATTCATAGTTTTATTTATTTTTGTTTTTTTTTTAAGACAGCATCTTGCTATGTAGCCCAGGTGGGTTTTAAACTTGTGATCCTCCTGCCTCTGCCACCTGAGGGCTGGGATGCCCTCTATGCCACTTCAAATTTAGATTTTGTTTTTATTGTTTACTTTTTTTTTTTGCAGTGCTGGGGCTTGAGCTCAGGGCCTACACCTTGAGCCACTCCGCTAGCTCTTTCTCTGTGAAGGGTTGTTTTTTTTTTTTTGAGATAGGCTCTCATGAACTATTTGCCCTGGCTGGCTTTGAACTGCAGTCCTCCCATCTCTGCTTCCTGAGTACCTAGGATTACAGGTGTGAGCCACTGGCATGCAGCTTTATTTTATTTATTTATTTTATTGTGCTGGGGGTATATTGTGACATTTACAAAAGTTCTTACGATATGTCAAATATATTACAGTTGAATTCACCCCCATTCTTCTTTATCCCCCTCCCTCAAGTTCAGATTTTTTTTCTTTTTTTTTTTTGGTAGCAGTGGGGTTTGAACTCAATGACCTCACACTTGCTAGGCAGGTACTCTACCACTTGAGCCACTCCAACAGTGCTCAAATTTAGATTTTGACATTATCTCCAAATGAGTCACTAAGAGACAGACAGGGCTAAAATTCCATACAATTGGAAGTTTCTGTCCTATTACTTGAATTGCATTATATATATATATATATATATATGTATATGTATTTTTTTTTTTAAGTTTTAAAAATTTTTTATTTTAACAGTACTGGAGTTTAAGAATTCAGGGCCTATACTTTGAGCCACTCCACCAGCTCTTTTTTTGTGTGATGGGTTTTCTTTGAGATAGGGTCTTGCAAAACTATTTGCCTGGGCTGGCTTTGAACCGTGATCCTCCTGATCTCTGCCTCCTGAGTAGCTGGAATTACAGGAGGGAGGCACTGTTGCTGGGCTTGCATTATATTTTATGCATAATAATGCTGACATATTCAATATTAGCACTCAAAATCTACTATCATTTTTAGAATCTTTCTTTGACATTTCTTTCTTTTGTCTTTTTTTTTTTTAAGATAGTGGGAGCAGAGGGCTGGTGGAAAGGCTTAAGTTGGTAGAGTGTGGGGAGCAGAGTATGAGAAGTCTATGAGAACTTGACACAAGCACAGCTGTGCTCAATGACCTATAGGCTGAGTTTGGCAGGGCCCCAGCCTTGGAAGAGAGCGAGAAGGCAAAATGCAGCACAGCTGCTTTTCCTAAATTGTTTGGTTCAGAGAAAGAAGTAGGAACACAGGTTTCTCTTGTTACAATGTCACATCCCTTCCCAAGAACTGTTGCTCTTCCTCCTTGTTTACCACTGAATATAAAAGACTCACTAAAGGAAGACATGGAGGTTTTTTGATGGGGATTTTGATTAGCTGCCGCTGACGCTGCTGCTGGCTGTGTGTCTCCACCAGAGCAGCTTTCTGCATTGAGAACTTTATACATAGGCCTTAGAAAAGCTTAGCTGGGCTGGGAGAATGGTTCAAGTGGTAGAGTGCCTACCTAGCAAGCATGAGGCCCTGAGTTCAAACCCCAGTACTACCAAAAAATTAAAAAATAGAAAAGCTAAGTTAAAGAAAAGCTAAAGAGAATGTGGGACACAGCCAGTCTAAGGACAGAGACTTTAAGAGTTATGCTAATGCAGTTTTTAGACGCGGCTGCTGTTGTGTGTCTGCAAGTCTGAGCACTGAGGCTTTAAAGGGAGCATGGGATGGTGCAAGTCTGATGAGCAAAGACTTTAAGAAAGCTAAGAGAAAACATGGGACAGAGCAAGTCTAAGGAAAGAGACTTTAAAGAATAGAAAAGAAGCAAGATTTTTAAAGAAAGACTTTAGAAGTAAGGCCTTAAAGAATAGAGAAGAAAAGAAGTAAGGAAAAGATGAGAATAATAGAGAAAAGAAGCAACAAGGCTGTTGTGCATCTTCATCTGAGTGCCAGCACACCTGGCCTAGCTTTGTCTTCTATGGTTTGTCCTTTCTGCATCTCCCATTGCCCCCAGTTAGGTCAGTATAACAAGGGAGAGAGAGAAAGCTCAGTAGAGTCAAGTGTGGAGCCCTGAGTTCAAACCCCAATATCACCAAAAAAAAAAAAAGAAAAGAAAAGATAGTGGGAACAGGCTGGGAATATAACTTAGTGGTTGACTGCTTGCCTAGCATATACAATAACCTGTTTTCAATCCCTAGCACTTCACCAAAAAAAAAAAAGACAGTAGTAGCTGAGTTGGCAAACAGAAAATGCTCAAGACACTCAGAACAAAACAAGATCCATCTCAATTCAGTGAGGACACAGCACCAGGAGTGTTCACTTATGTAAAAGGAAACTCAACCTGGGAGCCGTGGTGCACCTCTGTAATCCCAGCACTTGGGGCTGAGGCAGGAGACTCTCGAGTCCCAGGTCATTCTAGACTATATAGGGAGAACGCTCTCAGAAAGCAGTCCACAGGCCTGTGCTTTAACTCTCATTTCTGTTCTACTGGATTCTTCCCCATCTGAGGTGTCAGGGTTTGTACCATGTTGCCCTTGGCCCTGACAGAGGGTACCTGGGTGTAGTGAGAACAGACGGGGCCTCTGCAGCGCCAGGGGCAGTGGGGTGTGCAGTCCCTCGGGGCTGGAAACGAGTAATGCCGCTTTTCCTCCGACCAAGATCTCACAAGATCTACCACCGAGCGGAACCTGGGGGGCCGAGAACATGGAAGAAGGTGGGAGGAGGGTGGATGGAAAGTCGCTCTGCCACCAACTTGGGTGAGTCAGTCACTTCCTCTCCCTCACTTCCTGCCATCCTCAATCTGAGAATGAGGACAGTAGTCTTACCTCCAGGCGTGCTCTGAAGATTGTTGAGATGGGCCAGATAGAGAGCTTACCTGCATCTGGCCCACAGCAAGTGCTCAGTGAAGCACCTGTGCTTGTCATTGTCACACAAAGGGCCGGGTGTGAACCGGACACCTCAGACAGAGCGGCTTGGTTTGTAGGAAAGGAAGGCTCCTTCATGCATCTCCAAGGACTATGGGAGCCGGGGAGAAGGCAGACATTTGGGATGTCCACCAGAGTTGCTCTCTGCAGGCCAAAGAGATCTGGTGGGTCCTGGGGATGATGGGAGGAAATCTGGGAGGACTCACTCTTTGGCCACAGGCACCTCTTCTCCATCCTCTACAGTTTTCACTGTGAGCCTCGCCTTCCCTCAGAAGGGGTGGCCACAGAGCAAGGTGGAGTTTTGTGGCCCAGGGGAGGGGACATGACCTTGGGGGAAGACTGTACCACTAATATCAGTTCTGTTAGGCTCCGAGGGACCGTTCATGGCTCCCAAAGCCTGGTGCTGGCCCGACCTGTCAGTGACATGAAGTGTAGGTGAGTCCTGAGTTTCCCCTAGTGCAGGTGCCTGGTCTGACCCTGATCCCAACTTTTACTCTTCCAGAGCCATGACAGACTGGTGGAAAGAGGAAGGTAGTTGTTTATTATTTTTTCATTTGGGGATTTGAACTCAGGGCCCTGCAACTTATCAGGCAGGCACTCTACCAATTGAGCCATGCCCCCAGCCCTTTTTGCTTTAGTTTATTTTTCAGATAGGGTCTTATGCTTTTTGCCTGGGCTGGCCTGGGACCTTGATCCCCATCTCCACTTCCTGAATAGCTGAAATTACAGACATGAGCCACAGCTCATGGTCCATTAGTTTTGTTTTTTTAATCTTTTTATCAAGCAAAATAAAAATATGACAATGGGATGGTAGTCTTGTAAGTGTTTTTTTGAGATTTTACTGGCCTGGTCCAGGTGCTGGGGGCTCACGCCTACAATCCTTGGTACTCAGGAGGCAGAGATCAGGAGGATCATAGTTCAAAGCCAGCCTGGGCAAATAGTTCACAAGACCCTATCTCAAAAACCCAACACAAAAAAGGACTGGTGGAGTGTTTCAAGGTGTAGATCCTGAGTTCAAGCCCCAGTACCGCAAAAAAAAAAAAAAAAAAAAAAAAAGAGAATGAGAGAGATTTTACTGGCCTGTGAAATCCACATGTCTGGAACTAACTGAGCGGGGCCAAAACCATGGTTTTACCTTGGAACCTGAGAGCTGGAATGGTGAGAAAGTCAAGCCAGGAGGATGGGCTCACGATTCTCAGCCTTGGGCCTGGTACATCCACCCACCACCCTCTGTGCCCAGCTCTACTCCCCAAGGCTCTCATCCCTTATCCGTCATGTGACACTTCAGGTCACTCCTCACTGGCCGGCTGAAACCATGCAGGCAGGTATTTGTTCACCCCATTGTTACCTGTCTCTCCTAACTAGAGCAGGCTTGACTTGCATTTGCCGAATGACTGAGTGAGGGACAGGTCAAGGTTCACTCACCGGCCAGAATGGACGGAGAGGTTCTGGCCCACATGTCTCATCAGCTGTGAGGGCCCGTGGGCCCAGATGCACTGGGTGGCCCAGGCCTCAGCAGACCTGGCCAGTCTCTCGTCCCAGACCTGGGGAAAGACAGGCTGTGAACTTCTCCAGGGCAGACACCGTAACCAGCACCACAAGTGTGTGCAGATGGGCTGGTGCCAGGCCTCCTCCCCTTCTTCCCCCATCTGCAACAAGCCCACTTGGTGGATCGCAAAACCGAGCTTAGGCAAGGCCAGGTCAACCAAGTCCACCCCAGAGCTGAGTCTGTGCACACCCAGCTCTGGTCTGAGTCCGCACCAAGGCTCTCAGCTCTGAGTGGGGTCCCAGGGCATTGGTCCAAGAGTTCTTAGCTATCCCTAGACCTGACTGAGCCCAGGGTGAGCAGTAGATAACTGATCTAAAACTTGTGTTAATTTAATTTTTTAAATGGGGAGCCTGGGGGAGTGGTTCATGTGGTAGAGCTCCTGCCTAGCAAGTGTGAGGCCCTGAGTCTGAACCCTAGTAGCTCCAAAAAATAAAAGTTGGGCTTATGTTAGCATTAAAAATTTTAATTCAAAAACATTTTTACCATTTGAAAACATGCACCAAGTCAATATATAAGCTGTCCGTGGCAGGCAAAGTGGACAATGGTTCATCTCTCCTGTGCTGTCCTCGAAGTCACCTTGTACCCCTCCCCCATGAGCCATCACCATGCTTCTTGTGTTTTCTTCCAGAAATACTCTAGACCTGCACCAGCAGATACACAGAGACCCATATGTGTTATCAACAAAAAGCAGAGTGTGTTCTTTCTGCACCTGACCCTCTTCAGTTGGCAAAGTTGCTCCACATCAGTGTCTATAAAATCCCCCTCCTCATCCTTCTTCGTAACTGTGTGATTTTCCAATATCGGAAAAAATACTAGTTCTTGCCAGGCATGGTGGTGCACACCCGTAATCCCAGCACTCGGGAGGCTGAGACAGGAGTGTTCGGAGTTTGCAGTCAGCCTAAGCTACATAGCAAGATCCAGTCTCAAAAAACAAACAATATTAGCTCCTTTCCAACTCCAACTCCCTGGATTCTCTGAAGTATTATTTGTTCACTCAACAAATATTGAACAATTTTCCTGGCACTGAAATGAGACATCAAACAAGTCATGAATGATCAGAGTCCTGGGGCAGGGGAGAACGTGTAGTGGGGCCCAACTTTCTTGAAACTTCAGGAGCGAGAAATGCTTAGTCAGCTGGCAGCATGGTTCAAGTGGTAATGTGCTTGTTTAGCAAGCTCAAGGCCCTGAGTTCAAATCCCAGTAATGCCCAAAACAACACAAACATTCCCCAGGGTTATCTGAGAGGAAAGGAGCAAACTGAGGGAAGGAGCTTGCAAAACAACAATTGTGACCTTCTCCAGGGTTCCTAGGGAGACATCTCTACCCACATGCAATAATTAAACACACCTTGGGGTAAGTGCCCCCCAATACCACTGATGCCCAGTAAATGTGTCACTTGTTTCTAAAATGGAGGCCTCATCTATGTGCCAGTCTCTGTGTTAATGGACAAATTAGTCAGACCATGAACAAACAAATGTCACCCCCCACCCCGGGAGCTGCCTGCCATCTGGCTCCTGTCCTTGCTCCTCCCCAACAATGACCTCCTGATGTCTCTCTATTTAGCTTACGGTTGGTGTTCATTTTCTCCCAGCCCCCTTCAGATATAAGCACCCTGAGGGATGGAGTTTTGTCACCCTGAGGCCCGTCCTCAACCTATCCACAAGGCTCAGCCGTGCATGGCTTGAGCAGGAGCTAGAACAAAAGTGAACAGACCATGGCCAGGTTGTTGAGTAGCACACTTGGCCCTTGTCGCGGAGGGAGTCACTGATCCTAAAGAAGTACCTGTGGGGTGGCAGCCTATCTCTCCAAGGTGGCTGGGGACAATGGTCCTGGGGGAGGAGCTGAGTTAAAAAGCAAAGTTCCTTCCTCCACCCTTGAGTCTGGCTTCTGGGGAGCTGGGGTGAGAGACACCAGCCCCACCTCTTCCAGGGAAGATATCCCGACCCCACCCCACCCCCTGGCCTGGTGACTGGCTTTCCTTAGCCTGAGATTCCCCAGGTGCCTGTCTGTCCTCATCGCTCCAGACCCTGCCTCCATGGGCTTCTGGGAATGAATGGTATGGGTGTGTTGGCTAAACCCCTGTGCAGAGAGACAATAGCAAGGAAAGCCCCAGGTGCCCACCCCCTGCTGGTCCTCAGTATACAGCCAAAATTTTCAGACTTAGGTGACAACTACAAAGATCTGCCTTAGAATCCTGGCTGGATGACCTTGGGCAAATTAAATCTCAATTCCTTAATTGGAAAAATGGAGATGAAGGTGCTCCATAAATAGTGTCCCTGTGCCCTGATTCGCTGAGGTTCTGTGTGTTCACCTCGGTTTTCTCATCTGTGAAATGAACTCACTGATTCCTACCCTCTGTGCAGATTCTGGACATCCAGACGCTGACTGATGGGGCCAGGCTGGCAGATGGTCCAACTCTTCAAAGGCACGGTGAGCAGCTGGCGTTATCTGGAAGGGGTGCTGGGTGGGTATGGGAACTCACCATGTACTCCATGTTGGCGGCAGGTGGGTACACGCTGGCTCGGATGTGGTTGTGATAGTCCAGAAGGGCAGTCACGTCTCGGGCAGAGATGTGGCGCTTCCGGCGGTACCGGGGCACCCCCAGGCCACCCAGGGGCTGCACAGCTGTGCCCTTGGCCTGGGCCAGAGCCAGAGTAATTTGGGGCATTATCAAAGCCCCCACTGTTTGGCCTACACAGAGGAGCAGTCCTGCCAGGCCCATGGAGCTGGACAGCAGGGGCATAGCTGGTTGGGGTCGCACGTCTGCCTGGTGCAGTCAGAGCCGCTGCCTGGAAGGGATGGGTGTGAGAGTGCCAAACCCTGAGCGCTGTCCTCAGACACTGCTGGCCCAGAGGATGCTCACCGGGAACTTGGCAGGCACCTCCTGACCCAGCTCTGGTCCAGGTGCCCAGCACTCCCTCCTCCCTCCCCAGTGGACTCAGTGGGTTGGGTGAGGAGAAGAAATGCCCAGACAGTGGCTAAGCCAGACTGGGCCCTGGGGTGGGATGGTGCCACCACTTGAAAGGCAGTCCCTGTCATGCCCTCCCAGGAGACAGACAGCGGTCCCCTCCAGCCAGACACCCTCTCCACCAGTCCTACAAGGCTGGGTGAGTGGATGCCTGTGGAGACAGAACTGGCTTTTCCCAAGGCACCATCAGCCCTTGGGTCCCAGAGAGCCACAACTTTGGGACAGAGAGACAGAACGCATAGCAGAGGAGGACAGAGGCAAAGAAAAGGACATTGAGAAGCAGAGATAAAATAACAGAGGCTGAAAAGGCATCGGGGTAAAAGGAGAGATACAGAAAAAAGGAATGAGAGAGAGAGAGAGAGGCAAAAGAAAAAATCTACAACAGAGGAGAAAGAGAGGAAGAGGAGGAGGAGGAGGAGGGAGAAGGAGAAGAAAGGAGAGAGAGAAAAGGCCTGTGGAGACCAGGTAGCAGGCTCCCTGGGGTGCGTACCCAGGACAGGCAGCCCCAGCAGGTGGCAAGAGGTGGCCAAGGAGGCTGGGGACCTCTGCAGACACTCCAGCCGTCCTGGCCGCACAGAGACTTTAACAGTTCCTGGGGAGCTGATGGCATCTGACGCTCCAGCCCCGTGGCCCCCTCCCATTCCCGCCCTGCAGACTGGGACGGGGAGGCCCCGCCTGCCCCTGCCAGCTGATCCCTGGGGCTTTTCTCTCTGCCCTCTTTCCTGCTGTCCCTGCTTCCACCTGGAGTGCACAGGGCTGGGGCTCAGCTGCCCGGCAGGCAGGGATGTGGCAATCCTGGGTGGACATAACCACACCTCTGAGAGACTCCAGACCTGGAGGCCTCTCTCCGCCCTCTAGACCTAGCATGTTAAGGCCACCTTGCAGGATGGAAGTGTTTTCCCCAGCCTCAGAGTGGGCAAGTAAGTCGCCCCAACTAATGAGTACCTACTACGTGCCAGCACTGAGACCTTCACACACGCAAACTCAGCCACCCTTCAGAGGCAGGTGCTGTATCCCCCTCCCCCCATTCTACAGAAGAAGAAACCGAGTCCCAGAGAAGTGAAGAACCAGCCCAAAGTCAAAAGAGTCAGAACTCAAGTCCAAGTCTGACCCCAGGGTCCTGTCACTGTGTGAAAAATGTGTCACTTTTATAACCAAATCAAATATTGATGCATGGTGGGGGGAAGGCCTAGGTGAATATTCACTAATGATGACATTTAAGCATCATACCATGAGGCGTGACTCTTTAAGTCCACAGCTCTGGGTTCGAATCCCCTTATTCCACTCACTAATTGGGTGTCTTGATCAATGTAGCTTAAGCATTTTGTGCCCTGTGTGCAAAAATGGGAGAACAGTGACTACCTCATCTCACTGTTACGAGGGTAAAAGAATTGTTTGTGGAGTCAGAGCAGGGGCTGGCACACAGGATTGCTCTGTGAGTGTGCGAGGTTGCATGTGTGCCCTTGTGTACTTGTGTATTGTGTCTGCCGGTACACTTAACATGGACATACATATGAGTGCTCGTGTGTCACATGCGTGTGTCCAGGTGCATGTATGAGTATGCACATGTCTGTACATGTGTGCATGTGTGTGCTTAAAGCCCCATTGGTCTGAGTTGCTGAAATTCTGGGTTTAGAAAGAGTTCACTTTTCTCCTCTTTGGCTACTTGTGTTCTATGCCAATAACAGGCATTGCTTTTATAATAGGAGGGGCACAGTTACATCAAAAAGGTGCTGTCACTCTCAGCCTCTTCCTCCAGCAACCTCTGAGAACCCCCAACTGATGGCCCAGCTGGCCGTATGGGGCTGGGACCAAGCCACTCAAGCCAAGTCCTCCTCAGACACATGGAATTCCTGCCCCAGGCAGCGGCCCAGCTCCTCCTCCTCCAAGGCCCAGACACCACAGCTGCCAAAGCACACACCTACCCCTGCAGGAGTGTCTCCTCAGCAGTGTCCCCAGAAGCAACATCCCCAACCTAGATGGTGACTGCTAGGATATTGGGGCACAGGGGACACAGCTGAGAGGGGCTGGTGTCCCCGAGTTCTGCAGGGCTTTCCCACCATGTCAGAAGGGCAAGAGAGACTGACCAGTCTATCCTCATCTCTGCCTGCAGTGTGCCGGGTGTCCTCAGGCAAGTCCTAGTCTGTCTCTGGGCCTTGGATGTCCCACTGAGGAAACTGAACTGAGGGCTGTTCTGAAGACAGCAAGCTGGGATCCTTGGCATACTGGGGCGGATTCTACAGCCCAGGGGAGGCAGACACAGCCTTGGCACTCAGGGACCAAGTTATGCCCAGCCACCTTGGAATGCCTGACACGAACCATCTCACACAGCTGCCCGAGCATTGGTTCAGCACTTAATATCCACAGTCCATGTGGTCCTCATGGCCATCTTGAGGCAGTAACACACCCATTGTACAGGTGAAGACACTGAGACACACCTAAGCCTCAGGGGCTTGTCCCAGGCAAGGAGCTGGTTTGTGTGACAGCTCATGTGCAGAGTGTACCCATGCATGTGGTGCTCTCCTCCCCAGCCCACAACTGTGCACGTACATCAGCACACCGTCCTCACACAGAGCACAGGCTCCCCCGCCCCGAGCCTCTGTAAATACTGTTCACACACTTAATCACGAGGAGTACATAGGAGCTAGGCATGTCACCTTCTGTCACGAGCGCCCAGCACCGTTCTCAGCTCATCTAACCTTTGGAAAAGCCCTATCATCACCACCACCCCATTTTCATATACATGGAGAAACTGGGGCCACACCTCCAGTTGTGGCAAAGGCTAATGGACACCCCATTGCTATCTTCTCACAGGGACAGACAGATGTGAAAGGTACAGCCTGCAGCTCGGCCACACAGACAAAATCACTACCTCCACCCTACGTGTTCGCACATCTTCCAGGAGCCTAGGAAATCACACTGGGGGCCCTCCTTCCTGCTCCCCCATGGACAAAGGCTGGTCCCAGTTTCCCTGTGGCAGGTTTTCAGTGGATAAAGGTAATTAGGGGTGAGTCAGGCAGTGGTGGCTCACTCCTGTAATCCTAGTTACTGAGGGGGTAGAGATCGGGAGGATCACGGTTTGAAGCCAACCCCTGGCAAATAGTTTGTGAGACCCTATTTCGAAAAAACCCATCACAAAAAAGGGCGGGTGGAGTGCCTTAAGTGGTAAAAGCACCTACCTAGCAAGAGTGAGGTCCAGAGTTCAAACACCAGTACTACAAAATAATAAAATAATAATAATTAGGAGTGGCCCAAATTAAGGGCTTTTAATCTCACCTTAGAGCAAGCACATTTTTCTGGCTCCTGGATTCTGCTCCACTGGGTTCAGCTACCACCCCATCCTCACCCCCACTGGGATTCTCTCTGGGCTTGGGCAGAGGAGCTGCTCTTGAGGTATTACAGCCTGGTGGGCAGCAGCACAGGCTCTGGATCCTGGCGGCCCCATGGCTTACGAGCTGTGTGACCATCGGCAAGCTACTCAACCTTTCCGTGCCTCAGTTTCCTCATCTATAAGAGGACTCATGGCATCATGAAGAAGACAAAATGAGTTAGTACATCTTAGACACTTGACACAAAGCCTGGCAAAAACAAGCAGCCAATAAATAATAAAAGCTAATAATAACAACAGTCAACATTTATATAGAAATACGGACACCAGGCCCTAAAAGCGTTCACATGCTCTCCCTTACCTCATCCCGTCTTCATGGGTTTCCCATCCTGCAGAGGAGGAAGTGGAAACTCAGAGAAGGTGAGACATTTGCCCAAGTTCACACAGCTATTTCCAGTGGAAACCAGATTCCGTGCCAGGTCTCCCTGACTTGGACCCAGAGTTGTTTTTTCCCCCAGAGAAGTTTTTTTTTTCTTTTTTTGGCTGCACTGGGGTTCAATTCAAGGCTTTGTGCTTGCTAGCAGGTACTCTGCCACTTGAGCCACTCTGTCAGGCCTTTCTGCTCTGGTCATTGTGGAGATGGAGTCTTGCTTTTTTTTTCCTCAGGCTGGTCTAGACTGCCATCCTCCAATTTGTGCTTCCCTGTGTAGCTGGAATGACAGGCGTGCACCACGATGCCCAGCCATTGGTTGAAATGGGGTCTCTTGAACTTTTTTTTTTTGCCAGGGCTGGCTTTCAACCTTAATCTTCCCAATCTTTGCCTCCCAAGTAGCTAGCATTACAGGCTTGAGCCACCATGCCCAGCTGCAAAGTTGTTTTTGAGAGGAGACTGTGGGGCAGAAGCTTAGTGCTTGAGGGAGGAGACAGAGAAGGCTGGAAGGTCCTTAGAGTTGATCTAGGTCACCCCCTCATTTGCCAGTTGAGGAAAGAGGTTCACAGAGGCTAAGTAACTTGTCTAAGGACACACAGGAACTGGCAGGCTCAGGGCTTCAACTCAGATCTATGTTGCTCCAAGTACAAGTGGGATGAAGGTTAGTCCTTAGAAACTTAAAAGCTATAGATTGTTCTATGGCTAAGACTACATACTACCATCTAAAGATGTGCCCTTGAGTGATAAAGCTATAAAGAAACATGAAAAGAAATGCTATAAAATGCTATAGAAGTACAAGGTGGGCAATGGAAGGGACTCTGACCTTGATCTGGCTGGTGGTTACAAGTGTCACCTCATGACACTTTCATTCATTTCATGTGACTGTCTATATCTGAGTTTTATAATAAAAAGGTTTAAATACAGCAGCAGTAGTAATCTATACAATGGTGCCTGTAACAGTCTTAACTACATGTAAGAATTTTCATCTTCTTTTGGAGGTGGCAACCCTCCCAAAGT